GCCCCCCCCCCCCCCCCCCACAAAAAAAAAGGTACAAATCTGGCTAACCTAAAAAGTACAAATTTGGTCAACCCAAACAAACTCCTACTGCTTTGTTTTGCTACCATTTCTGGTAGTACCTCTTCAGGTGTTCAGCATTCCATGGATGGTCAAGACCTTTTTTTCAGAATTATGGATTTTGTAAATAAGGAGCCAATATAGACTCTTCTCTTTGGGAGGCTTTCGTCCAAGACTATTGGTGTGAGCTCCTCTACTGGTTCTCCTCTCTCTAGCATGTTGTCATCTCTAGGGTCAAGTACTTCCACTTGTAAGGCCTCTTGAGACTTTTTGGCCCTTATGAAAGCTACATAGCACTCCCTCGCCCCAACATGGTGTCCTAGAATTTCTTCAATTTCACATGAGGTGGTAAGTAGATGGCACCTCCCTCAAGGTGTTAAGTGTGGGATACCCAAAGATGATAATGTAGGCAGACGAGCAGTCTGGCATTAAAAAATTTACCATTATGGTGGCAGGGTGATGGAGCTCAGGGGATACGCCATTTCTCCTAAACAACTAATGAGAGGCGTCCTGATTGGTTGAAGTCTTTTCTTGTCGAGATGGAGGTCATCGTACGCCATTGCGAATAGGATATCGGCGGAGCTGCCACTGTCTACAAGGATCATTCTTACTTGATAGCTAGCTATCATCATGGTCAATACCAGTAGGTGGTCGTGAGTGTGCTGGATACCCTCCAGATCTTTGTCTGAGAAGGAAAGGACCTCGTTATCTCCTTGCTTGTGATACTTCAATGTTCATGAGCCATCTGGCTCCAAGTGTCTAATTTTTTTTACGTGTGCCTTCCTAGCTGAGTTAGAGTCACCTCCTCTCGCAAGCCCTCTGAAGATGGTATGGATTTCTCCTAGAGGTCGTTGCTATTCTTTCTCACCTTAGTTGTGATTAGGTGGTGGGACGTGGCCTTTGTTTGCCACATACTGTCACAATTGACCACGCTATATAAGGTCCTCAAATTGTTATTTGAGTTTGAAGCATTCATCAATGTTGTGGTCATGGTCGCGGTAGAAAAGACATTACCTGTTCAGGTTCTTACGATTTGAGACAAATTTCATTTGTTCAGGCCAGCGCACCGCAGGGTCATCTTGAATTTGGAGCAGAATATGCTCAACTAAAGCATTGACCGGCGTGAAGGCCTGTTTCTCCCTCAAAGGCACAGAGTCAAGGTGGTTTTTGGCTGACACCCTCTATATCCTGTCCCTTTTGTTTCGGTCTCTCTCTTGTCTTCACGAAGCTCTTTTCTTTTTTTCCCTCCACGTGAGGACTCACCTCGCTTGGCTTTGGTGATGTCCTCGGCATTTATGTATTTCTAGATTTTTAACAGTAATTCTGACATGCTCTTCGGTGGGCGCTTCAAAATAGAAAACAAAAAAATAGATGAGCACAGACCACTTATAAAGGCGGTCATGGTGACTTTGTCACCTAAATCTTCAATCTAGAAGACCTCCTCATTAAAACAAGTGAGGTAACTCTTTAAGCTTTTGTCTCGATTTTGCTCGATGCTGAACAAGTGGGTAATGGGTGATTAACCATCAAAAAGTGTTATTTGATTATATTTAATGATTGGATAAGTGCATATTATTTGTGATTAAATGTGTTAGATTCCTTAATTTTCTAGTTTGATATGTTTTCTAATTATTTGATTTATTTTGCTGGTAATTTGGTCTATTTAAATTAATAATAGATATGACAAGTGAAGCAATCACTAGAGAAAGAATCACAATTTATAAGAATTAAGGATTCAAGATTAAGATATGAAGATTTGAATATAAACTAACAATTTAATCCTAATAAGATTTCAAGTTAAAAGAAAACTCATTGAGAGTTGAATTAGAAAAATATTCTAGAAAATAAGGTTTTGACATGTCTTCAGTATTTTGGTCAGAACTTTGTATGCCGATATCCAATTGACATGATTTTTGTGAGATTGGAAAGAAGATTTCAAAGGCTACAAAAATTTATTTCACGAAAATTTCGTGAATCATCCTCTTACTATGATAAAATTAAGCTCGAGATTTGAGCAGATTTTGTATCCGCATCCCCCAAGATTTTATACACTAGATTAACTTTAAAAAACTTCTTTTTGAAAAAGGAATCCCTCCCAAGCCAACCCTAGAACTTCCACCTGTACTTAGGATTTATTTTGGTATAAATAAAGACTCTCACCTATGAAAGGAAATTATTATTATTCTTTTTCCATCATTTTGTTCTAGTTTTATGACTTGCCAAAAGCCAAACTAAAGTTAGGGAAGATACTTTCAATGAAGCACAACATTATTTTTTATTCAATGTTATTTTTAATGCATGATTTAGTCTTTTAATTTAATTTTTGACTTTTAGTAAAATTTTTGCTCTGTATAATTTCTTAATTCATTGTGTCATATGCTTGAGATTCTTTGCGTGTTAAATAACTGGTTATTCTATACTTGAATTAATTGATTCAAATTTCTCATAAAATAATTGATTTATTATTTAAAATAAAATAAGATTTACCTGTTAAAAAGTTTGATTTATTGTAGACTCCGGGTACGGTGAATACTTGTGATTTATAAGTTAATTTTAATATTTCTTCAGATAATTCATTAATTATAAATTTTAATGTTTTCATATTATCACCGCTAAATATTTTGATTGGGATCATTCCTCAACTAATTTTCAATTAAGTTCAAAAACTAGAACATTAATAATTACTGTGTGAATTTGAAAGAGTATTCCCGATGCTATACTATTTCAATTATTATTTTTAATCAAACAACTTTTGTTCTTTTGAACAAAAAA